CGGATCCAGATACACTCAGAGGCATCTGGGAGGTGTGCGCCCCACTGAGTTCAAAGTTTACATTGACTATCTCAGGCACTGGCAGTCAGGTCCCAACTTACGAGGCACGTTGTGGTCTGCAAAAGAGGGAGTTTGTTAATGCCAGCCGGTGGAATCGTCTGGAGGTTCAAGGCTCCAGCTACGATTGTCGGCATCTCGAAGTCGACATCCTTGGAACGTATCAACTTCTGCCTGACTGCGGCACTGCAAGTGGATGCCTGCACAAGAAAGAGGCAACCGATGCAGACCCTGAAGTGTATTTGTTCCTTGACCCCACAAAGCTGGGAGAGCCGAAGAACGACTCTTTTGTATTCGCTTTGGAGCATCAGCGTAAACCCGGCTATGAGTCCCGAATCACGATAGCCGAATTATCACACAAATGGCGCTCTTCCAAAGCAAGCGATGCTCGGAGGAATGTCAACGCATATTACCGCAAATGGGCCCAGGTTCAGACCATGAGGCTGCAGCTATACGCCCCAGATTTCACTATCACTTGTTCTGGCCTGCGGCCAGGGACAACTGTCTTCATGGCAAATGCTGGCTGCCACGATGCAAACATCCCCCTGGTATCCCTCTCCGCACCAGCCGGTGCCATTGACACTCTATGGCGTAAAGGGCCATGGCAAGTAACCAATCCAGCAGAATCGACATCTCTGCTGCGAGATTTTGCTTGGTTGCTTCAGAAGTCTTCAGAATTGTCTGGCTTTCAGGATTGGAACCCAATTACCACATATGTTTCACTGGGCGAAAAAACCGGATCCATCTGCGCTGTGTGCACTCCTCCAAAGCCGAGAATAATGTGGGGTCGGGATATTAAAGGCTCGATCAAAGCATATGAAGACCCAAAGGATGCAGCTTTGTATGAGCGCCAGGTAAAAGCGAAGCCATCGCCGTTCCTGATATTTCGCCGTGTCGACGAAGACAATGTTGGCCACTTCCTTGTCACCCTGAACGTGCAAACCCTGTTGCATAAAGCCCATGCAAACCTGGGCAGCTCGGCATCAAACAATCCCTCGTTTTACTGGCGTCTTGTTTCAAACGCCAATGATGAACGAAGATTCCCATTCCCTAAATTCAATTTGCCGAGCAACAGAAACGATCCGCCTCACAACCAACCGCCAAATTTTCGGAAAGCTCTGAGACCAGAGCAATTGCGGTCATTGACATGGATGTTAGAGCAAGAAAAGGATGACATTGCGCCCTTCGTCGAGGAGGAGGTCGAAGAGGCAATTCTTCCATCCATGATGTGGCGTGCAGAAGGCAAGGCCATGGTCCAGAGAACCGTCCGCGGAGGTGTCTTAGCGGACGATGTAGGATACGGCAAGACGGCGATCACACTGGGGCTCATTGACGTGCAGCATAGCAGGGGCCATGATACTATACCAAAGCCCATGGTGGGCTTCATTCCCACTAAAGCGACTCTCGTTCTCGTGCCCCAAATCGTGCTTCAGCAATGGCAGTTGGAAATCACAAAATTCGTCGGCAAAAAGTACGAGGTCCTTGTGTTGCCTTCCGGAACAGAATTTTCAAAAAGGATGATCAGCGATATTCTTCGTGCTGACATTATATTGGTCCCTTGGTCTGTTCTCAACCACCAGTCATATTACGAGAGAATGCAAAGATTCACGGGCATGCCACGAGTCCCCGAAAGCGCAGGCCGGAACTTCGACGCTTGGTTTGCTGAGGCACAAAAATCCCTCAGAGAACAAGTCCAAATTCTGATGGATCAAGGACCCCGTGAATTCCTGGAATCTCTGCGCAAGAAGCGTCAAACGGTCAAGGCCACTCATGGAAACCGCACCTACACCCCGTCAAAGCGGCTTAGAGGGAAGCAGTATGCGGCAGCACACGAGACGAATGATAGCAAGCCGGAGTGTGGGATGCAGTACGCAGACTTGTCTAGTGCAGAGGAATCGGATGAGGATGGCGACGGAGATCCCGAGTCTGTGCTGGCCAATGTAGAGCATTTCATTGAGCTCCGATCTGAAGCCGCAAGAGCGGACGCCACGCATACGCCTGACGGGCCCTACTCCGAGGACGATACTGCATACGAAGAGTCTTCGACGGAGAGCAACGCTCAAACGAACGCAGGCCCCAACAAAGACGGCACGAGTCGAAAGAGAAAGCGTGACCAGTCAAGCACTGGAAAGGCAAAAAGGACGTGGGACGACCGGAAAGAATTCAACATCATCAGAAATAAAAGAAACCAACAATGGTATACGGTCAAGACTCCTCTCCTGCACGCATTCCTGTTCCACCGCATCGTCATCGATGAATTCACGTATGCCGGTAACGAGCGACTCGCGCCTCTCCTAGCCCTGCGAGCTCGTTCAAAGTGGGTTCTCTCAGGTACTCCACCGTTGAACGATTTTGCCGATGTCAAAACCATTGCACCCTTCTTAGGAATCCATTTGGGAGTCGACGATGAGAATACTTCGTCCCAGAACCATCGTCTGAAGGTTCTGCGCAAAAACCGCTCAGATGCAGAAATTTTTCAGTCCTGGCGGGCTCCGCACAGCGAGGCATGGCATCGTAACCGCCATGAGGCTGCTCAAAGGTTTCTAAATCAGTTTGCACGCCGAAACATCGCCAATATTGACGAGATACCTTTTTTGGAGCACCTTATTCTGATTGATCAGTCCCCAGCAGAGTGTGCAATCTACCTCGAGCTGTACAAGCAGCTAATGACTCACAACAAACAGCTGCGTCGAAGTAGGCGCGGGCGATTCCACAATGATCAGAACGAAAGACTGGACGAAATTATCAGCAGCAGTATGTCACCGGAAGAAGCTCTGCTCAAGCGCTGTTGCTCATTGACACTGAAAGGGCGCTGGGAGGATGGGAAACAAGAAGCTGTCACCTGCAGTTCTTTGATTGCAACTCGGGAGGACCAACTGGTTGATCTTCGAGCCGAATTTTCGAGTAAGATGAAATTGGCCGCCTGGCTCTATTTCGGATGGGATCTGCAATATGAGAAATTTCATAAATTCGCCGAGAGTATACTCATGCATAGGTTTGGTGACAAGGCAGTGACTACTGAAGCCTTTCTGCTTTTCAAGTCTGCTATGTGCGCATCGCATCCCGACGACTGGAAGCTTTTCTTCGCCGAAAAGGGGTCCAACCCAAAGAAAGCAGGCAGCCCGGAAGAAGAGAACAGCCCAGGGGAAGCCGAATCTGGGACGGCCGTCTTGCAGAGAGATACAAGGAGCGTTGAGAGCGACAAGATGGCAGAAGTGGACAACCAACTGCAGGGTCCCCCCAAGAAAGCAAAACGCGTGGCCGGCAAGGGAGCACAGAAACGCCAGCCAAAGAAGACAAAGCGTGCTGAGGTTAAGAAAGATCAATGCAGCGAACTTCCGATCAAGCCGATGAAATTCGATGATTTCGAGCTCTGTATGGATGAGGTTACGTCCATCTTGCGGAACATAATGTCGGAGTGGGTTCTGCGTGAAAGAGCTCTGAGGTTTCTCAGAACCGTGCGGATGCTGCAAACTAACCGGCAAACACCTGACTGCGACTGCTGCAGAGAAGAAATACATTCGCGCAGTGACTCAAATGTCGTTGGATCCTGCGGTCATGCACTGTGTAAGGACTGCGCTTTGAAGACTGTTCGGGTTGAAGAATGTGTCGTCGACAACTGCCGTGGCTCAGGTACACGATTCAACGTGATCAGTGCTGCCTCACTCGGTTTCGAAGGGGACCAGAGCACTCAATATGGAGGAAGGAAGATGGACAAATTGGTCGATATTGTCAAAGGAATTCCCAACCAGGAACGAGCGATCCTTTTCATCCAGTTCCCTGAACTCATTGATGTTGCTTCCAAAGCATTTGATTTGGCGAAAATCACTCACACAGTGATAGCTGCGCGCGACACCAAGAAGATTGAAGAATTTAAGAAGGGTAATGAAAAGGTCGTGATACTGAATCTGGGTAGCGAGACGGCTGCTGGATTGTGAGTGACCTTCCCCTGACTCTTTCTTTCCCTTCTTTCTCATCTAATATTCTTGACAGAAACCTGCAGTGCACAAATCACGTCATCTTCCTCTCACCTATGCTCGCAGAGACGCAGTACGATTATGATTCCTCGATGACACAGGCAGTTGGTCGTGCCCTTCGCTACGGTCAGACGAAACGCGTCCACGTCTACCATCTGCTCATGAAGAGAACAATTGATGTCAACATATTTCAGGAGCGACGTAGGAAGATCCTGGTCGAGCGACATGGTCAGGCTGTTTTGGTAAACGCTGATGATTTTCTTGCTGGAGAAGCGTTAAGCTGCCAGGGACCAGCCTTGGTTGTGGATAACTTTTTGTGAGAACGACTCCGCGGAGTTTGCGTACCTGGCGCTGCTTGATGGCGCTTGTTTTTGTATGATTAAGCGTCATGTCAGTGATGGGATAAATGTAAGATTAGACAGTTCCCGAAGTTCAATGTGATATTATGATTGTCCGAATTTCAAGGAAGGACGGACCGCTACTATGTTAAGGTGGGTAAGGTAGAGAGAAACGAGAGAGGGTTTACTGCGGTAGAGATATTCTGGGTGAACACTGACCAACCATGAACATACTAAGGTAACCTGGTCATACCGCTGTTCTCGTCACTCAAGTAGGCTCAGCAGATCGATATTCGCCAGCGTATCGAGCGCTTACTGGATCCTCTTTAAATGAAGAGGGAGTCAGGAATTTGGACGAACAGGACTGAAAAATGGAGCTCCGTTGGGATAGTTTAGCAAACATCTATGGTAAATGAATTTCCATCATGTCCGTCTACCGCCAGGCAAAGGAACTTCAGACTAACGTACTGTACATGGTAGATATCTAGGAATCATGCAGTGTCAAGACGCCTCACAATCTCTCTTATCATAGACGAGACTGCGAAGATCCCACTGGGAAGGAAAGGAAATCAAGCTGCAACAGAAGACTTTGAATTGTTAAACCGAGGGATTATAATACGGAACATGATTAAGCCTGCTGATCCAAGGCACCGTCCTTCCGCATCATTGTCTCAGGGTCCCACACAGGATTTTGCAGGTTCGTGAGCCCAGCACTGTTCTCGCAGGTCTGTCTTCCGCTCAGGGGTCCTGGCGCGGGCACCTTGACTTCCTTGCCGCTCTCCGCGACTGTAGCGGACTCCTTCAGGGCTGTGAGAAGGGTCTTCATCGATTCAGGCGTGAGATCTTCGTAGTAGTCGTCGTTGATCTGGACCATGGGGGCATTGACACAGGCACCCAGGCACTCGACCTCGATGAAAGTGAAAAGGCCGTCTTCTGTTGTGTGTCCGGGAGTGATGCCCAGGTGCTCCTGGATAGCTTCGAGGATCTTGGTGCTACCGCAGCCACCGAGCTGGCAGGGTGTCTAATCAACCGTTTGCGTTAGCGCAGCCGTCCAAAGCTACCAATTCCCTCATATTAAACATATGGCAGTATTCATACCGTGGTACAGAGCTGAACAAAGTACTTTCCAACCGGCTCACGGTTGTACATGGTGTAGAAGGTAGCGACTTCGTAAACGCGCATTGGGGGCATCTCAAGGATACGGGCGACCTCGTTCATGACGCTAATGCTGGTATAGCCGTGCTGGCGCTGGCCCAAATCCAAGAGGGGCATAACGGCACCCTTCTTGTACTGGGGAGGGTAGCGCTTGAGGATCTCATCGACGAGTTTCATATTCTGCTCGGAGAACTTGAAAGGGATAGAGGGGTTGTTGTGAGGCTTGTTGCGATGCTAGAACTCCGAACCATACCAGTCAGCCACTGTCATTTATACCATTCCCACGACGAAGGATAACCGAATATGCCGCAATAGCTGATACTCTTCATACGTACCACGGCAAGTGTATCGCTGTAACGTTGCGGGCCAGCCGAGAACGGTCTGCATTGGGACTTAGGAATCTGGTGGAACAATTGGCGGCCAACCCGCGGGATAGCGGGGAAGAACTTTGAAGCCATTGCTGGCGAAGGAGAGGAGTAAAGAGGGGGGTCGAAAGAGAGGAGGACGGGTTGAGGCTGTTGCGATGATGGCCGGAGTTGCAGATGAATTCAATGGAGTCGACGAGGCGTTTTGCGGGTGTTGCGATCAGCCAATCAGCGCTAAGAGATTACTCCACTGAATGACTTGAGTGATTGAGCGCAACATCAACTGCGCAATTGACGATGAATTATTCTCGAAGATGAGATAGATATTATCTGGATATCTTCAAAATCTTGAGGAACGCCCATAACATGACTTTCAGCACGAACTGCTCGCCAATGACGGATTCTCTATGCAGATTCAACTATTAAGCAGGTACAAACGCTATCATGAATCATAACTGCAGCAATTACAGGCCCCAGACGTGTCAATGCAACGAGGAATTCAAACATTCTCCATCTTATAGACCTCATATGCCACCTCCTCATACGGATGCGCCTTCTTCAACGCCTCGACCGCCTGCAGCATAATCGATCGTCCCAGACACATAATCTCCACTTTCATTTCCTCAACAGTCTCCAACTGTCCCACCGATCCGATGGCAGGATTCGCATCCCCAGCAGGCAGAAACTGTCCTTGCCCGGACATCTGGAACGCGCACTTGCTGTACTTGCCTCCGGGGAAGGTACCGGCTCCAGTAGCAAAGATGGCCTCTTTGCACTGTTCGAGGTGCGAGTGTGGCACGAAGAAGATGAGCTTGTAGCGGTCGGGGATTGCTGTAGACATTGTTCTCTTATAGGAACAAAATGGGAGTATGGCTGTTGTTTTGGTTGTAGGGAGAGTGATTATATAACAAGCTGTAGAAAGCGGGGACCTTGAGACGAGCAGTAGAGGTGGAAGAGAGCGCACAGACTGGAAGAACGTCTTGCAGGCTGCTTGTCTGGCCAAATCGACTGCTTTCAAACTCATCTGCTACTGTTGTGGGCAGTTATGTAGCGAGAGTGGTAGATGGCTGCTGCTGATGATATTGCCCAGTCACTTATATCTCTCGTACTTGGCGGATCATTGTTTGCTACTATGGTAGGAATCGATGACATCAGGTGACAGTCAGAGTGCGTAGTTAAACAACATCGAGTCGACGTTCCATTGAATAGACTCATTCTTTTGATCATCTTGAGCTTGGCTCAGGTATAGCATGAACACCTCGCATTTTACTGTATCAATTGATATGAACTGGTCAAAATTTTATCTAATACGCTGCTCATATACACATTTGCACACTCATGCATCTCAACATCAACACGGTTTGTACAGCATCAAGCAACAACAGTATGCTTCTGTACATGATCATCAATGCGCTTGAGTAGCTCGGCTTTCCTCGTTTCATCAATCCAGCTCTCATTGACACTATTCTCAGCAATGATCCTCCACTCCTGGATGGAAAGCTGAAACGCCTCCTGAACAGCACAGTAATTATCGAGAATATAGCCTCCAAAGTAAGCCGGATCATCACTATTGATCGAGAACTTGACACCGGCATCCAGAAACTCCCGAATTGGCACTTGTTCCACCGACTGAACGCACCGAAGTCGCACGTTCGACAACGGACAGACGGTCAACATGATTCCTTCGCGAGCCACCCTCGCCATCAACTCCGGATCCTCAACCAGCCGAATCCCATGGTCGATACGCTGGGCCCCAAGCTCCAACGCGGTACTGATATACGTCGGATCGCCCTCCTCGCCCGCATGCGCTGTCAAGCGGATACCCATATCAGACGCGGAAGCGTAAATCTCACGGAACATGTCCTTCGGCGGCCCAACCTCGGACGATGACCAGCCGAGACCATGCACAATCCCACTCTCGAAATGGTTGCTAGCAAGCGCCAACTCATACAGCTTGGTCGCAGAGTCGACCGGCAAATGACGCACGAAGCACAGAATCAACCGGGTCGACAGACCTAGTTCCCTTTCTGCTCGCTGGCACCCGGCCGTGAAGCCGGAGACGACGGTCTCGTAGTCGATGCCACGGGCCTGATGGACCTGCGGGTCGAAGAAGACCTCGGCATGGTGGACGCCGTCCGCGTGTGCTTTCTGGAAATAGGCCCAGGCGAGGTCGGCGAAGTCGGACTCGTGGTGCAACACGGACATGCCATGGAAGTAGAAGTCGAGGAAGTCGTTCAGCGACGTGAACTCACCGTAGCGGGCTCTGAGAGTTTCTACTGAGGCGTAGGCTGGGTGGATTGCTGGGTCCGGTAGTTGTATGTTGTTTCTCTCTGCTAGCTGGAAAACCAGTTCGGGTGAGACGCAGCCTTCGAGGTGGACATGATGCTCGCACTTGGGCAGGCCATGCAGAAAATCGTGCAAATGTGATTGACACATTGTCGATGCTGGTATCTGGAGTAAGGAAAGCGAGAACAACGCGTCAAGGAGAGGAACTCGGACTGCTCGAAAGAGGGACAAAATCTCGGATGATCATTCCTCCAAGACAATTTATGGATACTCAGTAGCAACAGGTCTCGGGTCAAATCTGGTCAAGTGATCGATGGACACCCGTGGAGCAATTGAAGAGGCCGAATCGACTCATTGAGAACGATCGTTATCCTTCGATCTGCAAAAGATTTGACTGATAAGAGAGAGTACTCTGTCAGAATTAGAGTTCTATTAAGCAACGTGCAACCAGATAAGTGGAGCTAGACATTGCTTTGCTGGGAATCTCAAAAGGTTGTTCACTATCATGACTCTCGGAGGTTGCCGACAGCGGAGAAATCTTCGGAGCAGGCCTTGATCGAAATTTCCATGGATCTGAGAGGCAAGAAGCTACAAATCATCTGCCAGATGATAAAGTCAATCAACGTCTACCTGTATATACATCCTCGCTCCTTGGTGTTGCTGAATGGTGCAAATTCGTAAATCCATTATATGTCACTCCAGGTTCAAATTCTGAACAGAGTAAAATCCGAAACCAAGTACCATAGTCTATTTCCAATTATTATAATTTTAGCACAGTTCCAGCAGCCTTCCTGAGCCGGTTCATCACGGCAGCCGCGAGGTCTCCCTGGGAATCCGAAACACCCTCCACGTAGATGACATCCACCTCCATTTCATCCATGGCTCGCAAGGCCGAGAAAAGTCCCCGCGCGATAGACTCGATGTCGTCCCCCAGATGGCAGTCAAAAGCCGCCCTGATGATCTCGCAATTGTTAATCCTGTCCTTCACAGGAACAGAGAAGCACACCATGTCATCCACCAGGGACGGGATAGGTTTCAATGTCTTCTTGATGTCCTCCTCTGATACTAGACCCAAGCCTCGCTTCCATTGCCGGGTTCGTATGACGCCAATCATATGAGCCCTAACAGCAGTATCTTCCAAGTCCTTGTACACATATTTTGCGACCGCCTCCTCGCTGGACCCGGCACAGAATAATACTACACGAGCCTTGGGCGAGTAGTGCCGGTATTTCATGCCAGGAGCCCGAGGGACCTCCTTAACGTCGAGAGTGCCGTCATGATAACCAATCTGCACATTCTCCCATCCGGGTACCGTCCTTATTTCCTCAATACCGACTCCGCCTGGCCTCAGTATGGCTGGAGGGTTGCTCAACCCGTCGACAACCGTGCTCTCCACTCCCACCCCACAGGGCCCACCGTCGAGTATCAGATCGATACGTCCCTGAAGGTCATGATAAACGTGTTCAGCGGCAGTCGGAGAGGGTTTTGTAGACGCGTTAGCCGAAGGAGCCGCGAGTGGCCGGTCCGCAACATGGATCAACAAGCGCGCCAGCGGCGACGCAGGCATTCGTACACCAAACGTGGTCAAATTCGCGGTGACTTCGCCAGCGAGCAGCGACCCGGACGGGTTATGGAGGAGTATTGTGAGCGGACCGGGCCAAAAGCGCTCGATCAAAGGCTGGTAGATGGCAGGGATGGGATTTTTCGCAGTTCTCGTTGCGCGCGTGGGACTCGACACCGCCGGGTTGAGGAGTCGTTCTAGCATCTCTATGGAATCGATATGAACAATCAATGGGTTGTCGGAGGGCCGCTGTTTGGCCTTGTATATCCCCTGCACTGCAGCACTCCGTGTCGCATCCGCTGCCAAGCCATAGACCGTCTCTGTAGGAAACGCAACAGGTATATCGCTCGTTCGGAGAAGATGAGCAGCCTCTTCGATCGCCGAGGATTCAGGCGTCTTCTGGCTGCGTTCGCTTGCCCACCAGTCTGCGAGTGATTGGTGCCCAAGGTCTTCTTTGTTTAGTCGTCGGACAGACAAAATTCGAGTATCTCGTGGCGTCATGGTTGCGGTAGTCGTGCCGAAGAAATGGGCCAAGCTGCGCCGACAGCCGCCTGCTACAAGGCGAGACGTGATGGACACCAGCTTGGACCGTCTGGTTGTGATTACCCGGAAGACAGTGAGAAAATCAGAAATCTGCGCAAGTCGCCAAGAAGGTCCAAGCAAGAGGTTTCCCAGAAGATCGAGGGATTGTAGACAACCGCGGGGTGACTCAAGGTAGAAAAGAAAATTGAGGGCCTAGTGGGGGCATAAGGCGCAAGCACCGCGCTTTGTTTATCTATGCGATGAAATATATTGTCGAGTGGCTTGTCCGTCAATCCCTCTGAGAGATTATTGAAGCCTAAAATTGCACCTATGTAAAGATTTTAAAAACAGAATTGACGTCGTCGATTGACGATCTCAAACATGCATCAGAATTTCTGTGGGGATGACGTCGATCCGCATGACTAAGCGAGTCAAATGTGTAACTTAACTATACAGCCTGATGATAAGGGTGGCTACTTTTAGACTTTCTATTGGCCAGAAGACAGGTGTCATGCTATTCTTTGACATATGAGATCATTTTGGTCAATGATACTAGGCACTAAAAGACAGGAAAGGTTGATATATGTCTTAGAAACCTGTTGTGTGAGGGAAATCGACTATCTCGCCCAGTACTTCGACAACATGCGCATACTATAGCCACCACCAGTACTATATACAGTATATTCATGGCAGCACGGTCAAAGCTGGCCATTGGCTCTCAACTACCATGTAGATATCTCATAAGTCTATTTTTTCTTTCCGCCTTTGCCTCCCTTGTTCCCGCCGCTGCCCCCTTTCCCTTTGCCCTTTGCGTCACCTCCACTAGCCCCTCCTCCAGTCATGATTCTGACTTTGGGAACGGGGACAGTGTTAATGATCTCGGTGTCCTTCCATGCCTTGAAGAGCTCCCCTTCGCGTGCCCTTAGCTTCTCGGCATCAGCTATACTAATACCAGCTTCCTCAGCCTGCTCCTTTTTCACCTTGCCAGTGGTGGTCTCTGCCACCCACCGGCCAAGGATCTCTTTGACGGCCTTGCCCTTCTTTACTGTGCCCGGCTGTAACTTGACACGGTACTTGTAGCGACCAAGCGCGGCCCATGGAGCGCAGATCGGAATGGCGGCAAGAATCTCATCTTCTGGGCGAGGTGTGCCAATCAGTGCTGGAATCCAAGCAAGGTCTGCCGCCTCGGCAGCAGCAGTCTCTTCATTGTAATCATCAGCTGCACCCTCATCAAAAAGTGCTTGCCGTCTCCGCTCTGCTTCTGCAGCGCGCTCATGTTGCGCTTTCCGGCGCTTCTTCTGCGCCTCAGCGTCTCGTTCGCGCTCCGCTTTCGCCGCCGCGGCGGCAGCGGCCTTCTCAGCTTTGGTACTCTTAGCACCTACCAGGCGAAGGGCAAGCTCACGCTCCTCTTCATCCTGGTGTGCATATTTATCCGCGCCTTTTTTGCCTTTGCCCTTCTTTCCCTTCGCTGGCGCTGGCGCTGCTTTCTTCGAACTTGCCGGTTTCCCCGGTGCGGGTAATCCGTTCGCTGTTTCTTTTGAAGTCCGGTTAACTCGTTTCGAGTCAGTGCTGGGCTCGAGCGATCCGCCTTTGTTCAAAGGGCTTGGTTCACTTGTGTCTTGAGATGTTGCCGCTTTCTCTTCCGGAGACTCCGCTTCCTCCGCTGCCGTCTTTGCCTGAAAAGTTCGTGTTGCCTCACCCTGCCCTTCAGATTCGTCGTCCTCTTCGTCAACCCTAGGCACCTTTGATGTACCCTCTTGCTCTGAGAGAGGCTCAGATACACCCCGCTGTAATGGGTTCCTCGGCGGAATGGAGTCCGGGTTCACTTCTTCATCATCAGACTCGGAACTAGACTCATTGCCTTGCTCACTTGAACCGTTCGCAGCAGGCTTATCTGACTCTGCTGGCCCCGATTCGTGCGCCGCAGATTGTTCATTTTCCACAATCTGTTTCATATTTTCGCCTTCCTTCGCCACTGGTTCTGTTGGAGTCGCTTCCTCGAATATGTGAATTTTGTGATGCTTTAAACTTTCCTTGCTGATTTGGAACATGACTGCAAACCCAAGAACCAACTGTGACGGGGCGAGAAAGTTCTTTTCACCTTTGACCTCGAATTCCCCAGTCGGTAGAAGACCGCCTGTGGTGGTTTTAGTCACCTGGTTCGCATTGACCCACCATGCTGCCATGACTGCTTTGGATTCCCAAGCGCTCGATGTCGCAACGCAGAGGTTCCCTGCTTGCGAGAGTGTGCTCGGTGGTATGGGCGCATCCGGTGTCCCTGGTCTGTTTTTCACGATCATCGGTCGAGCACCTTCCAAGTCTGCATGCACAAAAATATCGCCTTTCTTGAGATGACGACGGTATAGCAACTCGCTCTGCATAGCGTCACGGCCACTGTCAAAGTTAGACCATATAAATAGCGCGACAGAGACAGACGTAGCACATACCCCAGAACTAAGTAGCCCTCAGACGAGATGAAGAACAGGAACTTTTCGAACCAGAAAGGGTTCCTGGCTGGACGGAGGACCTGCTTCTCTTGCTTGAGGCTCCGTTTGAGATCTTCGGTCACTTTCTTCTCATGGCTCTTGAGCGCCTTGGTCGACGATTGTGCCGTCTTCTGCTCTTTCACCGCGGCCATCTTCTTCTGTTCGTAGTATTGAGTAGCATTCGCCCACGGCGAAAGTCCGAGATCGATGTCGATAGTCAGCATTTCAGGGGCTTTCCGAGTTGCTTCTTCCTCTTCGCTCTCCGACTCCCCCTCGGATTCATCGCTCGAGAAAAGCTCATCGGCTGCATCCTGCTCCTCGCTGGCTTCCCCAAGGACCAAAGTAATAGTGTTCTCGTGGAGTTTCAATGGCAATTTGATAATCTGCGCAACAGGGTTGCCTCGGCCCTGCTCCATCTCGATTAGACGGGCGATCTCTACCCAATCCATTCCTTGGGCAATCAGCCCATTGACAGCATCCATTGCCTCCTGCACCCGGTAGACGTTGTCCTCGATCGCAGCCGCTTTGCGCACATGTATTTCCTGTGCCTCTTTTAGAGCGCCGAGCCGCTTCTCGTGCTCCTGCCTGACAGCATTAAGTTTTCTTTTCGCAGCCTCCTCGCGTTCTGTGAGCCGCGATTGCAGTTTCTGAGTCTCCAGCGAGGAGAAGTACTCATCAACCGTAGCGTTGAAAGTGCTGAACTCGAGAATTTTAACCTCCGGCTTCCCTTCAAACTGGCGAGGTCTGAAAGGGTGGAAGTCTTCGTACAAAAGCCCTGCCTTCTGTGACGTTTCCTCAGTATCAGCAGTCAGCTCCGCGGCGGGACGTTTATCTTCTTTTGCGACAATATAACCCGGATGATCTTCCTTTGCCGAGAGTCTGTTCGTCACACTCTGGGCCTCCTTCAACACACCATTAACCTGCTCCATGAGAGCATCATCCCCCAAAACCTTCTCCAGCGGCGTTGCCGGATCGAACTCCTTGACCGCGAAAGCATGATCGAGTAACAGAGGAGGATACTCCGGGAATCCCTGCGACAAAGCCTTCCGCAGCACATCCACATTCTTCTTCTTCGACTTCTTCGGCGCTGTTCCTTCCTGCGCGAACGCCTCCTTTGCTTTCTCCAACGTCTCCTTAATCCGGTCCGGTGTGATCTCAGGCACGCCGTGGTAATTCTGCTTGTTTGTGACCGTGTACTTGAGCCCGACTCTCATCTCCTCCTCGCCCACTCCGGCAGGAACCTGACGGAACAGTGTGAGAATGTTGTACTCCCGATCGGTGATGATGATATTGCCACCGGCGAAGAACTCGAGCAACATGTGGTACATGCCATCGCTGAAGGAGAAGTCGATGACACGATCGGTGCCGATCTGCTCGATCGAGGTGAGTCTCCGCGATTTAAGAAACTTGCGCATACGAGTCACGAATGGAGAAGGGGCGGTGGCCGTTGCGCGCGAGTATTGGGTGACATGGCAGCGGAAACCTGAGTCAACGACGAGTTGCTTGCGATGGTCTGGTTTGGCGAGTTTGAATAGAAATATTCTCTAGCGAGCGGATCAGCATGATTCGGTATCTAATTACCTTTTCAAATCGACCTGACATACCGAGGAAAGGTCGTAAATGTTTGAAACTCGAAGATTGACAAGCTCCGAGGCGAGCTCCTGGCAAATGACCTGTCGTCGTGTGAGCTCCTGCGACGTTCGCATGGAATCTGAGTTGCGAGGGACATACCTTGACGTCCAAGGACGAGAATCGTTGCTTCATTTTCCTATGCTGTTGACCAGGGACTCCTGGTAGAGTTGATAATCTGGTGAAGATGATTTTACTTTGACAATCAGAACTTCTGCGAAAATGTGTGGAAAGACGTGACGTATGCGGGGCACAGTAAACCGATCGCTTTAGCCGATTAACCCATATCACCAATTTGTATGAGCCATAATTTGGACTTCCATATCAAACCGACCCTTGGTACACTGATGAGGTTTCTATGAGTGCAAAGACTACTTGGTACCGTCGGCGACAGCCACTGACAATCGCCCAGGATGTAATCGTCCAATCGAGAATTCATCATGTCTAGGCCCTTTTCCCCGCCATTTAACAAAATGGAGTATCTCTATCGAATCCTCAGATCTGCGTAAGTCGCTAGCCTGGGGCGAGAATAGAAGAGAGTAAGAACAAGTAATGCAGCAAGTGCGCGCACAAAACCACGCCAGGACCAGCCAGAAAGCAAAGAATCAAGAAGAAACAAGTGCACGCCCATCATATGATAACAACCAGAGAAAACGATGCAATTACATCTGCCGTAATCCCTCCGCCAAACGCCTCTTTCCCAGCTCCCAAGCATTGAGTAGACCTTGCTCCGACAAATCGATGCTCTTCAGGTTTGGTGCATCCGGTGCTGGGGCACGGCTGACACGCGAAGCAACCATGACAGGGTCCGTCTCAAGAATGATACCATCGTCAATGATTTCGTCAATAGCCAGCGCGACCAGGTCGTAGTTCTCGACGATTGTGCGTTTGTCGGTGGCGCCCCTGAAAGACCAAACGTTAGCTCCAACAATCCAATTGAGTAGGTAGCTGCCAAATCAAAGGGGGAACCGTACTTGAACAAGATGCCCAGAGCATCCCGCAATGATAAAACAACATTGTACAGCAAAACCTCGTTCTCCTCGGCGCCCCCGACCACGTAGATCATAACGTCGCTCTCCATCTTGAAGACAACGACCCGGTTGTCGTAGAGGATCACATCACTGGTCTGCTTGTTGGTCTTCTCGAGGAGACCCTGCTCGAAGGCCTTTTGATCCTTCAGTGTCGGGTAGGGGTTGGCGCCGGGGTAATCTGTTGAATTGGGGGCAGCACCAGCTGGGGGATGAGGCGGGGAGTAGTATTTGGCGAAGATGCGAGATCCATCATCAGCCGACATGAGCAGGACGGCATTGACTGAGAAGAGAGACAGGGAACCGACCATGATGGGCGATACTTTTCGGAAAGAGAGCTGCTAAATGTATCAGAAATCGCCTGGTCTCGAAGTTCAAAATGAATTGCTGTTTACGGAGTACTGTCAAGCTGTCCGCAATTCGGCTTCCGCCGCAACATTATTCCGGACTTTGTCGATGTCGATGGGGGTTGTAAGTCAAACCAGCAACAGTTGAAAAATAAGAAAACATGTTCCAGAGAAAAATGGATCTAGAGGGGAAAATGTTTGAATTTACTGTATATCATGATATTAAAGTTATTGAACTGGACCTGTAGCTGCGGGAAAAAGCCTCTGAATCCACAAATCACTGATGAATAATAAGCAAAATATTATCAAACATTCTATGTTGAAACTAATATATCAGTCATATGTTCATGAAGGACAGTGGGCATAAAAGATAGAGTCTCATGGATATATTCCCGATGAGTAATGGACATCAGCGATTTCACAAGTGCAATGGAATCATCCAAGACAAGAAGAATCCTGAGAGTGGCTATCACAGCCAGAATCAGGAACAAAAATTGCCCTCCTGGTTTCGTAGAAAGGAGCGGCACGTAGTGCTTCCGCGAAGCAATCTTCAATCAACTTCAAACGTCATGGTAGTCATCATAAAGATAGGGTATTCCTCAACAGGGCGACATATTGAGAAGCAGAAGAGAACAACAATATTACACAGAAGCGGAGATATGAGACAACCAAAGAAAGTAAAAGAGTCAGTGCAAAAGATGTCGTAACAGAGAGTCGCCGGTCAGGGATAGAAGCTCAGCTCATGTTTGCTGTTGTGCTGCGTCACCTGTATTTGGACGATTGAACCACGAGATCCAGCTTCCACGGTTCGCTTTTTTCCGAGCTGCCTCCTCGTCCTCTGCCGCCTTTGTCTCACTGACCAGCCGTAGTGGGCGTAGTTTATTCTGCGTCATGACTGCTCCAGTGTAGTTTGTCATGCCGGTGCTGGAGCGTGGTGAATTGGAGGTCGCCCCAGTGGAAGCCGTATCATGCGGGTCACTGGTAACGCTGTTCGAGCTACTCATTCGACCCCGCTCTGGCTGGCTGGAGAGAGACGGCGCACGGGTACTCATGCTTGACATATAGCCTGCCCCTGAAAAGACACTCTGGCGAGACCCGGGACCCATGAGGGTCGGGCTGATAGGCCCACCAGAGTTGCGTCCAGGATACATCTGGCCGACAACAGATGCCGCTGCAACATCCGCTTGATCTGACCGAGTGCGGCGATGGCCACGCTGTGCTCGATTGATTGGAATGCTCGGCGCTGTTTCAGGGTTTTCGTGAGCTGTCGGGACACTCGTCGGGGGTGGCATGAAAGTAGACGGGCGAGATCTATGCTGAGAACGATTTGGTTGGCCGGAGACGACCGACTTCGCTCTTTGCAGAAAAGTCTGGGAAGATGCGTCGTCTTTCTCTGGAGGCGTCGGGGGCAGCTCCTTGTCAGTTACTGAAGATACCTGGTTTGCAGTAGAGGGAGGTTCGTTTTCGTTTTTGTCCAAGATGGTTTCGAAGCCGTCATGTTGAAGGAGACGACTAATAATGCGCTCAATGTATAGGGTCAGGGCCTTGTTCTGGTCCTTGATCACCTTGATCTCCGTTTCGAGTTTACGGGTATTGTCGATTTCCGCTTTGGCATCCACTGACTCGAGCTCGTCAGCCAGAGAGCCCAATCCATTGCTGGGTTCCTGCCCCTCATCATATTCGGGGTGGGCTTCCCGCATGAAATCACCTTTGGTGAAGTCCCCATTCAATGTTCGTTCGCTCAAGAGTAGCTGATAACTCTCGTTGTCCTCCATCAGACGAGCATTAGCCATGCGGGCTTCCAAAAGCTCCTTCTCCAATTCGCGTTGACGGCCACCGCCTTTGTTCTCCATCTCCACAAGCTTGATTTGGGATTCAGCCAGTTCGAGACGGAGAGACTCGATCAGTTTGTCCTTCTGCAAAAGCAACTTCGAATTGTTTCGCGATGGGCTCCGCTCGATCTGGGATGAAGGCGCGAACTGCCCTTCCACCTCTGGTGAGGACCGATTCCGGAAACTGGCTGTAATGACGTGTCAGACAACTACTGGGAGCGGAGAAGGGAAAGAAGATGAAATGAATTACTCACAAGAACGGGAAACATTCTTCTCGATGTCAGCGTTGATTCGTATCTCCTTCTGGGCCAACGTGTCTTTCAAGCGCTGGATGGTCGCCTGCATTTCTTCCTCCCGGCTCAGGTGCTGCTCCTTCTCCTGCAGCATGGCGTTCCGTTCCAACTCGTGTGCCTGTTCTAGGTCTCGGATCTGGCGAATGTGGTCTCTTATTTCGCTGTTGAGGGCTTCAATCTTGCTGTCCTTCTCATGAGCCTGGTCCTCCAACTTGCCCTGCTCGCTGATCGCTTCGTCGAGGCGCATTTGCAAGACACCAAGTTGCTTGCGGTACTGCTCCGATGCACTCTCAGCCTTCTGCAACTGCTCCTTCAACTCTTCGATCAGAGCTGCATTCTGGGCCCGGGCCTCTTCCTCGGACGGATCGGCCGCCACCTGGGGTACATTGGACATGCTGAGGTTGGACCGACCAGGCTTCCGGGCTGCAGCACGCGCAGAGACCGGAGTCGAGCCACGGAGGGAGGGCGATCGGGATAGACCGTTCGTAGAAGCACTGGGGGATCGAGTATGACCTCGCGACGGAGTCCCATTGACTGTGTTATTGTCCGTAGTGGAGGTTTTGCTCCCACTGCCTGGAGTCCCAGGTTTGCGGGGGTTCGCGGACATATTCACCGATAATGTGGACAGTCAAGTTTGAAAGTGATTTGTACGCCAGACGCAGGGAAATAATGTCTGAATAAAGCCAGTTATAAGAAGGATTAGTCTCAGGCCAGGAGAAGCGACGATGAAACGGCCGGAAATTAGCGATCAATTTAAAGGAATCAGCGTATATAGTAGCGGTCAAAACACAGTGGGCACCCTAATGGGAGAACTTTCGAATGGCTGGCAACGTCTAGCCACCCACATAGAAATTCGGCACAAACCAGAATCAAGGAGCATAAAATTGAAGAAGAACCGAAGTCAGAAGTACCACGTTAGGGATCAACGCAGTAGAAATTCAGAATGGAGAAAATCTGGGGGTTGAAGACGGAAAAGTAGACTGGACGACTCAATTATTTGTATGGAAACGGCAATAATACAAGCGATCGTCTTATCCGTTGCAGCTGCGTGTTGGGTTCCCCTACCAACAGCAGCCAACGCCTAACGGCTAACTAAGTACGGAATAGAACTAGCCAACATGAGACCAGCGCATGTTTTAACTATCCGACTACCTTAAATCTCAGGCTACTACCAACTGCTACATACTGTAATACGGGGCTTAAATGCAGAATACGGGCCAACCTAGCCCCTTAACGTGGGAGACAACACGAACTTTACGACGTTGCAAAGTTTACTGTGGAAAGAAGATAAAGATAGCACAGCATCCCCTGTACTTTTGATTTCATAGGCAGTTCCTTGCTGCGTGCGTACAGAATCTAGGTGGCCATCTGTCAGCCTAAAATAATGATCATCCAAAGTAATTGAATTCCTGCCACTCCAGCTTCAATATTTGCCTCCTGCCTCTTGAGTGTTGGTTTCGACTTAAGTTTCAACTCTCAGATGCGAGAAACCGGTAAGAGCTCATGCTTAAGGGGTCCCAACTGAGCGCGCCTGCAATAATAGAATAAAAAGAGACTACCTGGAGGCATCAGCAAAGGATGTAGATGGTTGGATGCGATAACGGAAAGATACCTGTAATTGGATTTCAGCCCCCTGTACGGAAAAGGAGGGGTTACTCAGCAGCTTCTGGCGGAACGGAAGATCCCTGCTCCGGGCGGGACTAGGGCAACCCACAAGAAAATTATCATGAAAATCGATCTGGCAATCGCTTCTTGATCGCATCCCAACCTCGAAAACTTCGGCCGGAGCGCACTTTTCCAACCACCCTTCAGTCATATCAAAAAGTTTCGTTCGACTCGAACAAACAGCGTAACGATGGCCCCCAAGAGCAAGAAGTCCGGTGACACCATCTCCAGCCGTCTGGCTCTGGTGATGAAGTCTGGAAAGGGTGTGTGACATTTCAATCAAATTGATGTTGAAGACCATATCACTGATTATTCTCTCCCCTCCAGTCACCCTTGGCTACAAGTCCACCATCAAGACCCTGCGTTCCGGCAAGGCTAAGCTGGTCCTCATTGCTGCCAACGCTCCTCCTCTCCGCAAGAGTGAGCTCGAGTACTACGCCATGCTGGCCAAGACTCCTGTCCACCACTTCTCTGGCAACAACGTAAGTGACAAGTGCCTCTGCAATGGTTTTTACTCCTATGCCCCGACGCTGGTACTTCTCCGAAAGAGGAAAGGCGACCCGGGAGCAGCCCTGAGAAGAAGCCGTATACCTGGGCTTTGGAGGGTAAATGACAATGGCTGACATATATTCGTACTACAGATTGAGCTCGGTACCGCTTGCGGTAAGCTCTTCCGCTGCAGCACCATGGCCATCCTGGATGCTGGTGACTCCGACATCCTCAGCAGCCAGTAGGTGTATCGCCTCGAACATTAGGTTCTTGTTATGTCTATACGTCCGGGTGTTTTGAGATATCACAGAGCACCGCTTAGATAATGACAGAATGAATGAAAGAAGGTCCACACCTATCGGGAGCGATTGTACTTGGCGTAGTGTAAAAGCAACGGAAGTATGATGCAATACCTTGTTTTCAGTCCTACTTTTCCAAGAGTCATACTCTGCAGTAATAGAGGAGCCTGACTCATAGAGTAACGCACTTGAGTCAGTATCAACGAAAAGGGCATTTATAATCTCTTCATAGCCATTCGGATGCAAGGTCAGCAACAGTAACAAGTTAAAAGGCTCCGATCTGACAAATGCGTCATGACAAGAACGGGACGTGATTGGTGGAGAGCGTAGGGTTTAGGGCTTTGCCACTCGTTAGCGGGAGTTGCTTGGAAATCAACGTCGAGACTTGCCCGCAGGCGAAGAATTCCCCCTTCCCTTTTGAACTCCCGACACCACCTTTTTCGACAACCTCACCGTTCGCAGGAAGTGCAGTCAGCCCATTTCCAGCAGTCACAATGGCCCGTCGTCCCGCGAGATGCTACCGCTACTGCAAGAACAAGGTGCGTGCGATCGCTTGATGGAGGATCTGATTCCTTGTGGGAGTTTTCGTGTTCTGTGGATTTTGGATCGGGAACCTCGCTTGTGGGGGAGAGCAACAACGCCAACCCCTGTTTTGACAGGCGAAGGAATAAAGAGATGGAATATATGTCGTCGCGATTTTACTGCGGCCTGGATGGATTTATTGTTTTGATATATGCTGTGAGGAGGATGATTACTGACAGGATGCGTTGGATATAGCCCTACCCTAAGTCCCGGTTCAACCGTGGTGTTCCCGATCCCAAGATCCGTATCTTCGATCTGGGACGTAAGAAGGCCAACGTCGACGACTTCCCTCTGTGCGTGCACATGGTCTCCAACGAGTACGAGCAGCTGTCCTCCGAGGCCCTCGAAGCCGCCCGTATCTGTGCCAACAAGTACGTTGATCCGCCATCCGCAATCCGCACCCGCAGCAGCATCACTACCCACGCAGTTCAGTCCACTAACCATTTGATCAAATAGGTACCTCGTCAAGATCACCGGTAAGGAAGGTTTCCACATGCGTGTGCGTGTGCACCCCTTCCACGTCATCCGTATCAACAAGATGTTGTCCTGCGCCGGAGCCGATCGTCTCCAGACTGGTATGCGTGGTGCCTTCGGTAAGCCCCAGGGTACCGTTGCCCGTGTGAACATCGGCCAGATCATCCTGTCCGTCCGCACCCGTGACTCCAACCGCGCCGCCGCCATCGAGGCTCTGCGTCGTGCCATGTACAAGTTCCCCGGTCGCCAAAAGATCATCGTCTCCAAGAACTGGGGCTTCACCCCCGTCCGCCGTGAGGACTACGTCCAGCTCCGCAACGAGGGCAAGCTCAAGCAGGATGGTGCCTACGTCCAGTTCCTGCGTGGCCACGGTCTGATTGAGGAGAACATGAAGCGCTTCCCTAGCGCCTACGAGAACCTGTCTCAGGCTTAGATGGTTTCCCAGTAGCGTTAGAGAAGAGATGAAAAAAGACAACCAATTTTCAGTTCCCCGTTTTCATGTTACCCCCCATCCTGGAAAGGATTTGATGTCATTTAGTGGTGCTCTCACGTACGGCGGAGTTGATTAATCATGGAATTTCCTCGGCTTGTTTTCATCCTCGATCTACTCGATTCGACTGTAGCGGTAGCGGAAATGGACCACGAGTTTACGATAACATGCGGAATGTTTCGTGATATCTACTTATATTAACGGTATATAGCGTAGTAAATATACTGTTTATGTCAAGCTCGTCCGGAGATACCCATCATTGAAGCCCGCTACGATATACAGAATGTAGAATAGATTATACAAGATGCCATTACTCCAAGTAATATGAACCTGATAAGATCGACATGACAGCATAGTGCCAATAGTAAACAGACGCAACCCACGCAACCCAATCGCCGTCGTCTCGGCGCCGCCCCGTTCTACCGTACACCGTCTTATACCAGTAGACAAGATACACCCTCACCTCTGTCTGCGCCACGGAGCCGATAAAAGTGCGAAAACGAACAAGGATCCGAGCGCCATACCCAAGAAGAGTTGAATGAAACACCATGAACAAACTATGTAAATGGACATGGGGGGGTGGGTGGATGGATATATGTATATACCATATTGTGACAATCACAACAGCGCCTTGATTAGATCGCCACCAGAATATGACTTATACGATCGATTGGCAGTATTCACGTGGGATGATGACTGGAAGCAGATCAGACATCGCCCCAAAGCCCCACGCCGGCCGCAGGGGGTGCGATGGCGCTCGCGCTGTCGATGCTTCCGCCAATGTCCCAGTAATTCCGGCTTGAACTGGTGAGTGTTCGCCGACTGGAGAGAGCAGAGAGTTTTGTCTGGCTTGCACAGCTCGAGCCGGGTCGGTGGAGATGCTGACGGAGCAGCGGCGATGTAATGCCCGTGGGCCCAGACTGACGTCGGATCTGGGCTTGAGAGCGGGAATGAGCCCGTGCAACGAGGGGATGGTGCTGGCGGATGATCGCCGCGCGTCGGGACGCATCCTGAGCGTGACGGCGTGAGGACGCATGGGTGCTGTCGGCGTTGCTACCTCGTCGGCCGAAGCGGTTGCGAAGGTAGCGGAAAACCATCATCACGTCCAGCTCGCGCTCCCAGTAGTCCTTCTCTTGCTGCAGGCGTGCAGACTCAGGGAGCGGTTCGCGGTTCGCATCCTCTTCCTCCTCGATGCCCCAATGTGCGGCATGCTCTCTGCCGGTAGGATCGCGCATCGTAGGCGAAAATTGCGGCGACGTTATCGACTCCTGACTGCTCATCACGGTGTGGAGGGCAGCTTCGGCGGATGCACCCTGCGGTGCAGCGTCATTCTCCTCTGCTAGACGACCAAGTGGTATGCCTGCATACTCGTTTGGTATCTCATTCGTGACGTTCAGATATGTCGTAAAGGCGCCAGGGTGTTCGCAAAGATGGTGGACCAAGGTGCCCAACTCACGTGCAATCCGCTGAAGTAATTTGCTCTGCCAGATACCTTGCTCATCCGGCATGGAGTCCAGCTCCCGAATTGTCTCGCTCAGATCGAGAGCGTTGCCTGTTCCCGCAGATTCATTGTACTCCACCCGCATATCTGGCAACGACTCGCCGAAAATGATAGAAAGCAGAGAATCGTCGATGCCGATCAGGTCCCGAATCACCTTGCGGGTGATACGTCGCCAGAAAGACTCGTCCTGCTCAGACTCCTGTTGCGGCTGCAACAAATCTTCCTTGGTTGTCTCCAGGAGACCATCAGGTGTGTGTGAGACAATGGGTTGGGAAGCCACCTGGTCGGTCTGCACACTGACGCGGCTATTGCGTCGGCGCTGTCGTGTTACCCTTTCAATTTCCTGCAAGAGCGCCCGGCTCTGGTCCATTCTCCACTTCTCGATACGTTGCCAGCGTTCATGCTCCATATCAACCTGCTCCCGATCTTCTATCGAGTCCAGCTGACGCTGCACACTCGAACGACGTCTCAGACGCACGTCACCCCGCCGGCGGGGATTGAACTGCTCATGCTGCCACAATTGCTCCTGCACAGGCTGACTGGATGCATGAAAACTCCCCAGCCCGTCATGAGCTGGCAGGACTGCTGGAGTGGACTGGTTCACCCGTGATGCAGATTCCTGCGTGACGGACGGGGCCCGGAAAGCGTGCAGACCATCATCTAGGCTGTCTAATTCCGTTCCATCCTCATCCAGCGGCTCTTCAACACCGCCATCCGTGTCATCGCCCTCAAAACCGAGAATGGAGCGACTCGCTATGCCAAAGGAGCCGAAATCACTAAGGCGGGATGCTCCAGCTGTTCGTGGGGTGCGTTCAGTGGAGGTCGTGTGAGTGCGGGCGGTGGATGGTTGGGCCGGGGAGAAGAGCACCCACTGCGTGGATTCGTTCTCGAAGGCTCGAGAGAGAGGAGAAGGAATATCAACCTCAGGAATTTGTTGAGTTGAGTAGGAATTGCGACGGCGGGCGACTTGAGGTGGTAGACGCAAAGCCATGAGTGATGAGTCCTAATCTCCGATCTTCACAGCAGATAAGATAGGGTGGATTCTCCCCGCGTGGAGTGCGTAGATAGGCCGTGACCAAAGTATTTGTCGGTAATCAGAAAGTGGGTAGTTGTGAGAGAGAGGGAAAGTGGAATAGAGGTATATAAGGACAAAGAAATTTAAGAGACAAAATGGGATGAAACAAGATAAAAGAAATAATAGATAGATAGACTTGGACTGTCTGGTTTCTGGCCGGATTCGTCGTGATGGTGGAATGATGATGGGTGATGATCGCGGTGGAGATAGACTAGATCAGCCGTCACTGGTGGGATTTCGATGCTGTGGACCCAACCTGGTTGGAGATATGGACTTGATGCGAGAATAAAGATAACCTATCTAATAGATAAATAAATGAAAGAAATGATATATTGATACAAAAGAGAAGAGCGGTTTACAATATGATCATGGTTAACAACAAAGAAGACAGACACACCCTAGGGACTGACAACTCGACTGTTGGGGAGAAACGCGGAAATGATGCAATGCAAGGATGGGGAGGTCAAACACCACCGTGACTGTAACAACAGGCAATTCAAGTCACCGGACATGTAGATAGCTAAGGTAGAGTTTACTGGGTTTAAGATATATACCATATGTGGATTTAGTAGCGTTTGTTCTTCAATATTGACTCCTTACAGCAAACTGTGTTCAACTCATCACATTTTACCAGCCACAAGGGGAAAATATATGTACAAGAGTCTCCCAGTTCTGAAGTCAGCCATATCCATCCATCCATCATCAGCTCAGCTGACAACATCACTACGGTACTTGCTACTAGACATTACACCAAGTTTCAATGGAGTACGAGAGGTGGTCGGTAATAATGTAATCATCCTAAGAGATAACGACACCACCAATGA